TATATGTATATGTCTGCCTAAACTGCTTTGAAAATCTACAAGGCTTCGTTGTACACAAAGAAAGAAGCATGAGGAAATAAACTTTTTCTGTTAATGTGACCAAGAGAGAGAAAGAGTACTGTATGATTGTGGCTGAGACAAAGTCCAAATGAAAACAATTACTTTAATCCAGCCTTTTGACGGCATTTTTGCATTAATGCTCTCAACATAAATTGTCTTCGTGACAAAGATCTCACTTGTTTTAAGAATACATCTAGATCAATTACACCTCGACGTAGTGCCTCTCCAACATAATATATAGTGTCTTCAAGTGCTGCTTCTTCAGCATATGAGTTCAATATCCTGGGGAAGCAAAACAAAAACTGTTAAGTTTGCATCAAAAAGTTTACAGATAGAGGAATAAATGTACAATGAACATACTGCTTATACAAGGGAGCAGTTGTAGTTACAGCCTCATCCACATCCACTTCCTGGTCAGAGAGACGTTCAGTAGCTTTACTTAGCTCCTCTTCTTTATCTTTCAGCATTGAAATATTTTTATCAAGCTCTTCCTGTGAAACTCAAAGAAACTTTAGTATTTTGATAAATTGTATAAAAATAGGGAAATAGATGAGAAGTGTTTACCTGCTCTTTAGAGAGCCTGGAAAGAATGTTGTCCAATCGATTTTTCCCAGCTCTGAGCTCAGATTCTGTTTGACGGAGAATATCCAATTCATCACGAGCTCGACTAGACTGCTCACGCAATGAACGCCTCATCTTATCTTCAACAGCAGACAATAAAGACGCTCTAATATGCTCTTCAGTTATTGTTCCTGTTCCAGAATCAATGCCAGAATTCTGGGTAGTTGCAGATGGTGGCATCTATAAAAGACAAAGTACATACGTCATACAAAAGTAGAACATAGAAGTGCAAACTTCAACAGAAACAAAAAGATCTAAACAGCATAATTTGAACTTACTGATGGACCTGCTGGGTATTGACCTGAGGGATATGCAGGATATGGTAATTGATTACCCCCAGTGGGATATGGAGGGTAACCTGAATTAGAGCCTGATTGTGAGTTATAGCCTGGATAAGGAGCAGGGAACCCCCCAGAATATGGAGTTGCTGGTGGATAGGGTGCTGAGTTATAACCACTGTTAGCAGTTGGATAGGGAGGATTTCCTCCCCCACTTGGAACTGGCATGTAAGCTGAAAATTCAGAAACAGAATATTTATGGTAGCCTAGGCACATTCAAAAAGGCAAGGTCTTAGTTCAGTGGGTTAAATATATTACGTTGAGTAGGGTAAGGTGTAAAACTTGATGATTGTTGCTGGTTGGCCTGCTGCTGTTGATGTGAGGTTTCTCTCGGTTTTGCGTAGACAGGAGGTTCCACAGAGAAAGCACTAATCATAGCTTGGACAAGATTGGGTAGCAAGTTTGGTTGTCTCTGAACACAATAATCATAGTCAGGAAACAATAACATATGTTTACAGGAAGTTAGGATTCTCTGAGCATAATTTACAAGCATAACATAAATAATACTTACAGGATCCCACAAATGCAATTGAGGCAAGTAAATTTTTCCACTGTGGTCGGTAGACCTTGAGATTTTCAAGACCATATCAGAAGTGGGTTTTACATAGCATAATGGAGCATTGTTTGGATGAGTGTCCATGATCCAAATACATACAGGAATATTATAGTTTTGACCTGTTGATAGAACAGTAGTTATAGAAAGGAAACTGAAAGATTGTCAACCAAAATGAAGTATTTGACCACATGGGCAAGTAAGATCAATGCAGTGTAAGAAGAGTTTGTTGGGAAAATTGCATTTCACAAGAAGAAAAACAAAAGTGCAATATACCTGGGATAGCTGAGTGTCAAACTTACCCTTGTAAGGTACAGGCACTGTCCCCTTTAAGTTCAACAGGCTCCTCTTTGAACCATTTGAAAATACTGACACACATAAATAAGAAAGTGAAAATTGAGAGCACTAATGAAAGAGGGCAAGAACTGTGTTTTTTAAATTTCTTCTATTGAATTGATGTTCAGAACAAAAAATAGAGGCTACATTTCTAATTTTAAATAAATTTTAAAAGTTTTCGAATAGGTGAAAACAAAATTCATGACAAATTTAAATATTCAAACAAGATTACCATGCATCATACTAATAACCTTGCCATCATCAAGTTTTTCATTTCACAAAAAATCTTTTGAAAACAGATATCAATAAACCCTACTTGCTGCTCATACCCATACATACATCCCTCATGTGTTGTGGGAATAAAATTGGTCCTGTAGAGAGAAAATTCTCCTTACAGCTCTCTAAATTAAGAAATAGATAGAAGAGAGACAGCACCACACACCAGATTTTTAAAAAAATCCTTCAGAAAACAGTAAAGGTTGAAAGAAAAGACTATCCCAGGTTTTAAGAGAGAAGTGAGGGGAAGGCAGAGTCCATTTAAATAGTTTTGGGATCACTCACCCTTGTAAGGAACAGGAATGGTTCCGTGCAATTTACAGAGCTGTTTCTCCTTTCCATCATTGAAAACTATCAAAATGACAAGAATGTAAGTGAGCAGGATTAAAACAATATAGAAAATTTTAGTTCTTTATCACTGCTGGTAACCTTGTTTGATTTAATGTTGACATTGGATTGACAGCTGACAGAAGCATATAGCCTCTATTTTCAAACTCAACCATATCAACAGTTAAATAATAAAGGTTTTAAAACAAATTAGAACAATTGAAACATTTCAAGTTCATGTTGAAACACACACAATTATTAAAGTACAATTTGAAACTGGAGATTTAAGAAGAAGTAAACTAAATGAGACTACTTACCGAAAGGTTCAATTTGATGTGATAAACCTCGGAATTGAGTCACGGTGTTAAGAACATCCCTAGAAGTGACATCTGCGTTTTGGTACTGGAAAATAGATTTAAAGAAAGAATAATGGGTGATTAGTGATACTGATTGGTTGAAAGAGAGATAAAGATATATTTTTCACTTGAACAGAATACAAACCGAATATTTGCTAAGTTTGTCCCTTAATTTCTCCATAGCTGTTACCATACTGATTCCTGAAATATATGTGTGTGGTTAGTTAATTAAAAGAATTGATGTTGCACATGACAGCAGATCATGTACTTTGCAGACTTTGCACCAATTTATCAATAGTTGTCACTAGGGTTAAACGTTTGGTACATGCACACTCGGAACAGAGATTGTCTAATGTTTGTTATGCTGGCTTCAGGGACAAACAGGGGGATGCAGATGCATTTCAACTATTTTAACTCACCAGACCTAATGAAGGATTTGGTTTAAAGTTCTCGTGGACTTGAAAGCAATCAAAAATAACGACGGGCCTGATTGCTGATGACTCAGAAGTTAGAATACTTCAACCCAACGACAACAAGACTGTAAACAAAAACAACAAAAGCAATCAGTTTCGCAAACCCTCCAACTGAATAAAACGAAAAACATGCTTGTTTTATAACACAAATTTAATTTGCAATGAGTTGTCAACGTGTGTTTTAAAATCTTCAAATTTTTTATCGAATTTCCTTTCTTTTAGTATTTGTCGACAAAAGTGGCATTTTTAAAAGTTTGTAGGGGGTTATGTTGTGTTCGTGTTGGCATGCGTGACGTGACGACCGACCTGTCAGGCAGCCAGCGGCGGGCTTAGTTAAAGCAGCTCAGCGTCCAAGCAAGCGCGTTTTGTCGTTTTAGTTTCTCAAGGTTTTAGTGGTTTCAGCAAGCTAGTCAGCCAGTAGCAAGCTTTCCCCAGCAAAGATCTGTCAACTATGCTTTCGAGAGATTTGCATATGCGTCTCGTCACATGTCGCACGAGGTGGATTGCAAGAGCTAAGAACTAATTGGATGTCTCGCGAGATTGATCGCATCGGACCCAATCGCAACAACGTTAACTGGACTATGGCCGAAGATCTGCCTCTCTCTGCACTGCCTGGATGGCTGACTTTGAAAAAGAGACCAAAAAGAACGGAGACGTCTCTCTCTCTCTTAAATGGACTATGCATATCGTGGATCGTTTTTTTTTTTTTTTTTTCGGCGTGTGTGTGTGTGTATGTGTGTTTGAAATAGTGTGCATGACGATTTAGAGAAAACTTCACAAATCTTAGGTACTTTATACTTGTATACTATTCAGCCAAGTATCTTGGGCCTCCTTAATAACTCTTTATTCCTGACTTATAAGGAGAGAGATAGGAGGAAGAAAATAAATTTCAGCTCTCTTTCAACACCCAAGCCATTTTTATTTTTGTAATTGCACAATGTTGGTTGGTGAGATGGGACCAATATTGAAGAAAGTCCAGGGTAGCTAGAACTAGAGAGTAGTGCATGATAGTGGGATATTCAAGAAACCAGAATTTCTAAGAATAAAATCATAGAGCGTAGATTTATTGAAATTAACTTAACAATATTTCTTTAAAATCTAACAAATAAAAACTAGATAAAAAATATTTACATATTTACATTTTTGTTATATACACATTTACATTATTAACAAGATAATGCTTACACTCTCTGTAAATTATCCTGTTCATCTCCAAGCTCTCTTTGAATTTGAACGAATGTCTTACCTTTGGTTTCAAGTACAAAGAAAAATGTGAAAAAGCACCCCAGAACAGAAATGCCCGAAAATACCCAAAATGCACCATATCCACCAATACTTTCTTGTAGGTCACCATAAAATTTCGTAACTATGAATACAGACAACCAATTAACCACAGTGGCAATGGCCATGCCAGTTTCCTTGATTTGTGAGGAAAAAACTTCACCCATGTACAGCCAAGGAATAGGTCCATAGCCTAGAGAAAACACGACAATGAACACCACCATACAAAGGATGGGTAGCCATGAAATGTCCACGTCTGCAGTCACCTGCAAAAGAAAATAAGCTGATAAACACGTTCCTTGTAAGTAAAATTTAGAAAGTCTGATTAGAAAAAATACTTACTGTAGTCTTTTGTTGCAGATAAAAATAGAGACCAAGGACAGCACCAGAGATTGCCATAACAGCACCAGATAAGATTAATAAAGGCTTTCTTCCCAATTTGTCAATTATCAAAGTTGACACATATGTGGCAATAATCTGACAAACTCCCACAATTACTGTGGATTGACTAGGCTCTAGCTTGACATGTGCATCCTAAATTCAAAAACAAGGAAAATTTAAGTTTTTATCAGCCAAGAATTAATTTAGTATTATTATATAGAAGATGTTCATCCAGTCAGCTTACTTCAAAAATTTTGCTAGCATAAAATATGACAGCATTAATCCCACTGAATTGCTGGAATAACATAACTGATAGTGCAAGTATCATTCCCTTCTTGGCAGCAGGAGTTGAAAAAGATTGAACAAAAGGCAGTTTTGCTAATGCGTCCTGTAATGTTGAGATATAAAAATATTATAATTTTTCCATAGTAGAACAGATCATTGACAAAATGTTACATTTACTGTGTGACTATTACCTCTTGCAAGCTCTGCTTAATGGAATCCATTTCATCATTCACATTGTGCGTGCCACGGAAAAACTCTAGAGCTGACTGTGCTTCAGAGACGTGGTTTTTAGACAGGTGCCATCTTGGAGAATCCGGAAAGAAAAGCATCAAACCAGCCATAATGGCTGGTATAATTGCAGACACAATGTTGACCCATAACAACGGTACATCCTATAACCACAAGAAACACTTGCATAAATTTTAGACAATTAAAATCAAGTAATGAGAAAAAAATTGGGTGGTCATACCAAAGCATTCAATGCGTAGATAAATAAGATTCCAGCAGTAATAAGCAGCTGGAAAAAACTCCCCAAGACACCTCTGATAGCTGGTTCAGCTATTTCTCCTGTGTACATAGGGGCTACTACACAATAGGCTCCAGTAACAGCACCCAATAAAAATCTTCCAAGAAGAAGCATCCAGTACTAAAACAAGAGAATGCATTATAGACATCATATAAAACATGCAAAAAAGTACAGTAAAAAATAAATATCTATTTCACAACTTACCGAGTTGGCAAAGGCAAGTAGCAGGTAACCCAAAACAAAAATGGGAGCTAAAAATATAATGACTTTCTTTCTACCAATAATATTGGCGAGGTAGCCAAGTGGAACGGCACCAACAATAGCACCAATTGACAGAAAGGCACTAACCCAAGAAAATTCTGTCTCACTAATTTGGAAATCTCCTTTAGCACCATCTGTTAACGGCTTTTGAGCGGCACTTGTCCACGACATAGTAGTTCCAACCGCCATAGCCGATAAACAGGCTAAAAATATTACAAGTAAAAAAGTTAAGAAGATAAAATAGAAATGAAATGAAAAGTTTTATAATCCAACAAACTGGCAATGTGGTACCTAGACCTGGTTTGGTCAAAACTCACCAGCTAAAGCTGCCACATACTGCATAGACCTACTAGGCATGGTGCTTGATGGTGGGGCCAACAGAGGCGTCTTCTCGGTAAACTGTGGACATAAAAGAAAGTGTAATTAGTGAAGAGCAGTGGAAGTAATTCATCGAGTCTCAACAAGGTAATTTACCAAGAAATTTTCAAGCCCAAAGATCATAGGAATGAGTTAAGGTGTCAAACAATGAAATTACTTTATCCAAATTACATTAAGTTAGATGATCGGCCGTATAAGACTTACCGAACCAGCCATGGCTGAATCATATTCTGTATCAACCTGTTCATCCTGCCTCTGAACCAAGTCCGAATGCCAAGACATAACTCTATCTTTGAACCAACAAAACCCTCAGATCGAAATACGAGACTGACGATGTGGGATTTATGGACCAGCAAACAGGTAGGGCTTAAAATGACGATTGAAATCTTTCGCCACATTGCCCGGCTCGGGCCGGCTTGACTGAATCTGACAATCAATCAGCTGTTTTCTTTTTACTGGGGCAGCGAGTAGTACGTCGACCTGTTGCCTCCCTTTTAATTTGTGCCTTCGCCCCGAATCTGTAGAGGGCAGCACCAGGCAGCACATCTCCTTTCTACTGCGCTTGCGCACTGGTAGGCGCGAATTTTTTGAAGATTAATTATATTCGCACCAATTGGTGCGGATTTCCGTAGACCTACTATTCGCACCAATTGGTGCACATAGCTGGCACTAGTAATTCTCACCAATTGGTGCACCAATGGTACAAGTTGCTATCCGCACCAACGAGTCTGTGGAGGGGGCCGTTGGGGCGGATAGCAGCTTGTACCTTTGGTGCACCAATTGGTGCGGTCTCGGTACAGTCAGCTATTCGCACCAACGCGGGCCCGGAGGAGGCGGTTGGTGCGGATAACAGTCGGTAAGAGTGGCGCACCAATTGGTGCACCTATGTTACTAACCGCTATGCGCACCAACGGGGTCCTGGAGGGG